GTTGTTGTTGTTAGTATAGGATTGTCGGACTATAACCGACACGGCCTTGCCCAGGGGCGGCCCGTTGCGGTTCCGCTGAGCCCAGGAGCGCCAGACCGGGATTGGGATGAGGTGGTCCCACCTGCAGATTGGAGGATAATGCAGGTTGCAAGTGTGAGCGACCGATCAGTGGATTGCCATCACCGCCCCTCACTCTTGGACGGGTCAGTTCGAGTGGCGCGCCTTTAACTGGGGTCCGACTTGTTGAGAGGATGCTTTGCTGATCTGGGTGGTGGGTATCGTGTGATGACCCGGAGTAGGGTGGTGAATGTGGTCTGTGGGCCTGCTAGAGGGCGCTGTGTTGTGTAGGCTTTTGGGAGATTGAGTTCTGTCTCGGATATTGTAGTGACCTCGCAACGAGGAGATAATGTTCGCTGGTTATTGCTGGCCCTGACAGTAGGCATTCCAGACGTCATTTCCTATCATCTAGGAGCACTTGTACCCCAGTTTAGCTCTGTGGTTGGCCGACTTGGGTCGGTTTGCTTTGTCTGCGAAGGTGGTTCCCTCAGGCCGCCAGGTACCATTTGGCTGATTGGGAACCAGCGTTGAGTGCATGAAGGAAGCTTGATGTGGAGCCAGTAGTCTTTCTGAGGTGATTCTTGATCTGTTGCACACTTGTTGAACTTGGATGTGCACGCTACTGAACGGTAGCTGCCTTTGGCTGTTTGCCTGCCACGCTGTTTCTCCCGGATCTCACATGACTGAATCCAGTGGCGACGACTGGTCGGTTTTGGCTTTGAGTCTCTGTAGCCAGCGAGGATCGAGGGATGATGTGGACGTTGTCTCTTGGCGACTGTGCTGTACGCTTGTATGGTTTTATCGAGTCCGTGTGAATTATGACGGATTTTATGTTGTGTTGCAGCGTGTTGTAGGGCCTTTGAGATTGCTACTGGTTCTATTTTGTAGGGTGGAGCAGTCGTTGGAAAGTCTCCATTTGAGGGTCTGACCTTGGGGTGTAGAAGGCCGCCCGGATCTGTGATGTTTTAACCACCGAGCCGCCTGTGAAGTATGATGCTGCATCAGCCGCGTCTCGTGGCTATGGCTTGAGAGTTATTCTTTGAGGTCCTCCTCTGGAGGTTGGCTTTACTATCGCCGAGGTCGGCATCAAGAGGTATGGTGGAGGGTCTATGGCGGAGGAACAGCAAACATTGTCCCGTGTGTTCTGGTTGTTCTTGATGCAGTGTTTCTGCTTGCAGGTGTCGGATGACCTCGCTGTTCACAGGCGACCAGGTGGCCCCTCGCACTCTGTGGTCGAGGTGGAGGAGGCGCTGATTCCGAATCTTGGCAACTGTGGGCTTGTCTGTTTCACAGATTTTAAGAGGAGACCGGCTGTCACCCGCTTGACCTGCATTTCGCCAGGGTAGTTCGGTTTATTTAAGATTGCAGATTCTGGTCCACATGGAAGCTTCCTGAGTATGGCCTGAGAGCATTATTTCAATGACTTTAGCTTAGCTTATTTGGTTATCTTCTCTTCAGTTCAATGAGGCGATACTGTAATTCTGCCAGCGGGCCTGATGGCGGCTGTGTAGTAGGTATTTTGAGCATTATGAAGGTTTGCTCCCGCGGATTTGCTGGTGAGCGACTCCCATTATATTGTGTCTGCTCTTCGTCCTGTGCCTGAGATACTCGAGTTGTATGAAGGTGAGTTTCTGGTCAAACCA